TAAGAAGGTCTTACGTGCTTAGCATATGTTTAGAATATTCTTTAAAGAGAGGGTCTTTATAGGCAGAAATGAATAGAAGTTTACACTGCAACAATAAGAGCAATGTAATGTGGTTTCCATATCAAAAATAAAAGATAATTTCAATGGGTAAAAGTAAAAGTAGTTCCCATGTAAAAACTCTTCTATATATCAAACACAAGTTTTTGGCATAGTAATTTAAAATTCCCCCAATTCTACAACTTTCGAATATTCCACTGTACTAGACAAAGGATGAAATACTTGATTGTGCGAAGGGATGTGGATATATTTTCCCATAAAGATATTTTCTCTTCAATCGCAATTCGCACACGTTGTTAATATCATAATACGTTAGAGTAACGATTAGGTCATAAGCTCCAAAAAGATTCTATTAAGAAGAAAATAATAATAATCTCTCCTACTTTGGGAGAGGGAAGGGTCATGTTATCCTTCTTTAGTTTAATGTCTTAAAAAAAACCTATATCCTAAGTTCCAAAATTATTATATGTTTGTTTCTATGAAGACATGAAATAATTTGTCTCAATGACTAGCTGTTTTCCTAAACTCCAAAGAGTTTTTTTGTTTAAATAAAAGAAGAAAAATATTCCTAGTTTGGGATAGGGAAAGGTCGTGCTAACATCTTTTAATTGTATATTTAAAAAAGAAAAAAATTAACCAGCCTACGTTCATGTTTTATGCGGCCCGAAGTGTTATCTAAATTTATTTTATTTAAACGTCAAATAGTTCATTTTCAACAACTGTTTTCGGTTCTTGATTAAAAAATGTCATTGTCCTACTAAATCATCCTTTATTCTAATCGGAACAAGATAAACCTTAGCTCTTTAAATCCGATTAAAATAGTCCTTCTGTTGATCACTAATTAGTAAGATTTGTCCTCTCCCAAATCCCTCCAGATTCCTTCTCTCTTCCATTTAAAAAACTTGGACTTTTTGGGTAATTCCACAGTTCTATGCAGGAATTTTTGTTCCTCACAAAAATTAAAAAAAATCATATTTTTAGTTCAAATCCTTTCCTTTTCTTATAGGGAAATTTTAAGTTTTTTCTTGATTTTTGTTGGTATTGAAGCCTTTTAATTTTTTTTTTCTTATATAGATAACTGATCTTTTGATTCAAGTAAGTTAAATCCGATAGAAATTCTCTGTAGAGATGATTTCTTATAAAGGTCGTGCTAACATCTCCGATAAGAAATATAAATCCGATAGGAGAACCGCAAGAGATGATTTCTTTAAGAGATGATTTCACTATTATAGTATTCTGATTGACAATATAAATGTATAATACTTAGACTACATTTATATTTGTTCCTGTATAATTTTGTACAGAGGATTCTTATAAGAATTTCATTTTCTTTGTACAAATGGTACTACACCCCAAAATATGGATTATAGAGAGTTAGGTCCTAAATTCCAAAGAGATTAAAAAAAGAAGGAAAATAACATAAGTCCTACGTTGGGAGAGGGAGGTGTCCATTCCTCTTCTCATTATATTTATATCTTAAAAAACAAAGGAAAAATTGCTTCAAGGCCTCAAATCCCAACTTTGGATGTGCCCCAGGCCATCCCCCCCCTTCCGCCTCCCTTCTTCCCCCCCCCACTTTTCTAAACTTGCTGCACTCCCCTCTTCTCCCCTTCTTCCCCCCCCCCGCCCCCGCCCCCCGCCCCCCCGCCCGCCCCCCCCTCTCTTATTGAAAAATTGTTGCTCTAAGCCCCCTCTCCCCCAAGTTCTCGATGCAAACGCCATACACAATCCCATTTTACCCTCCTCTACACCCCCTTTCCTCCGTTCCCTCATGCCCATGCCCCGCCTCCCTCCCAGCTCGGCCCCCCTCCCTTCCCCTTCCCCTGTTTTTATTTTTCTTTGTAACACCTCCCCCTCCCCCTTCCTCCCCTGCTCCCCCGCCTCCCTCTCCCCTACAGTTCCTCCTCTCCTTTGCCCCTCTCCCTTGCTATCTCCCGTCCCCTTTCCCCCTCCCTCTCGGTTCGTTTCTTGCTTTTGCACTTCTCCGTTCTCCCTCTCCTCCCGCCTGCCACCTTCCCCCCTACACCTCCCTCCTCCTTCTCCGGTCCCCCTCTACCCCCTCCCCCGCTCCGTCGCCGGCACCGTCCCGAGGAACTTCGCGTGGGCACAATAATGTTAACTCCTTTCTGTAACATGTTAACTTTTTTTGTAACATGTTAACTCTTTTCTGTAACATGTTAACTCTTACAGCTAACATGTTAGCTGTAAGAGTTAACATGTTAGCTGTTAGAGTTAACATGTTAGCTGTAAGAGTTAACATGTTAGTTGTAAGAGTTAATATGTTATCTGTAAGAGTTAATATGTTACAGAAAAAAGTTAACATGTTACAGAAAATAGTTAACATCCACTGAAATGAAAAAGAGGAGGGTAAATTCAGGATTTAAGTCAGCTGATATGTCTAATCATGAGCTGACATGTCTAATCAACTGCTGGCATGAGCTAGAATCATGATGGAGGGGCCTAGACACATTTTTTTAAAAAGGAGGGGCTAAAGAACATTAAAAAAATAGGAGGGGCTGGGGCACATTGAAAATTCAAATTTGGGGTCTAGAAGTAATTTTCCCAAAAACAAAATAAAACTAACATCCTAGGTTCATAAAAGTTTAATGATCTACCAACTGCAACATGAAAATTTTGTTTATTTATTGATGTTGTGCGCGGCGGAAGCTCGAAACCACACGAACAAGAATGAGATAAATCACAACCAATAAGTCAAACACAATAGCACAGCAAGACAAACGAATTTTACGTGGTTCAGTAAGTTACATACATCCACAGGGAAAGGAGGGAGGGGGGGTTCTTACTATTAGAAATCAAAAGAATATAAATAGGGTTACAAATATCACCAAATAAGCAAATTGTTGATAAAACTCCAAAATAGCATTTTCTTTTGATTGAGAAGGATCTTCAAAACCGGCTGGTTGCCGGCCCGGTTATCCCGGTTGGACCACCTTTTCTCTTTTTCTTTTTCAGCGGCGAAGGCAGACTCATAGGGGAAATCCCAAACCCTAAAACGAAGTCTCTAGATCTCTCATAACTCCCCCACAATTGGATGCAACAATCCCCTATCAAAGACTGCTCAAAACATCCTTACTTAACCCTAATTAATTAGGATTAAGATTATATATCAACTCAAAACGAAACGGGTTAGAAAACCAAACTCAACTGCAGACCCGACTCGCAGTCGACCGCAGAACCACGCGCGGTCGACCAGATCCAACGACTGAGACTAAAAACCCCTACAAGGTTTGGTCAGTCGACCGTAGAACCCATAGCGGTCGACCGCGAAAAGTCCAGAGACTTTTCTCAGTTGTGTGCACGTTTGCGGTCAACCGCCGCGTCATCCGCTGTCGACCGCAAAACTGTCAGAATGTCAATTCTCCACCTCGTCGCTGTGCTCGCCATTTTTTTCAATTCTCCACCTCGACGAGCGTTTCTACCAAAACTGAGCCAACATCAAATTTAACATCCAAATGTCCCACTTGTTATGTCCAGGACAAAGTAAAAGCAACTCACTTTAACGGACTCAATCCACAACAAGTCGGGAACTCAAACAAGAGCTTAAACGATCTCCCCCCATCGAAAATCAACAAATCCAACCGGTTGCATCAAACATGACTGCCTACGTATCCTCTTGCCCAATGAATCAAGCCGAACGTAGTTCACCCAAATGACCTCCAAAAGCCCTCAACACTGAAGAATGTTCAATAGCTTCAAAAATGACCAAATTTTATACATGAAACAACGTTGGTCAACATATCCACAGGGTTGTCCTTCGTGTGGACCTTCTCCAATATGACATCTCCATCATCCAATATGTTACGAACAAAGTAGAATCTGACATCAATATGTTTCATGCGTGCATGATAAATCCAGTTCTTCGCCAAATAGATAGCTGATATGCTATCACAATATACTCGAAGGGTCTCATGTGTGATCCCTAAGTCCTCCAACAGTCCACGTAACCACAAGCCTCCTTAATAGCTTCAGTCACCGTCATATACTCCGTCTCTGTAGTAGAGAGAGCCATTGTAGACTAAAGTGTACATCTCTAACATACCGGTACTACTGTCAATGTAAACACATATCCTGAAGTAGACCGGCACTTGTCAAGATCCCCATATAGTCTGAATCCAACGTCCACGGAATCACACTATCAGCAACAACAGTGTCTTTCCACTTCTTTCCAACTTGTTTTTTTATAAACAAACACAGCCTAAAAGTAAACCTACAAAATCAACATTTATTTGAGATGTCCTTATCGCATTAACTCAATTTTTATTCCAATCAGAGAAAGTGAGGCCCAGATAAAGCCCCAGGTCTTTAGATCCGATCAAAATAGTCCTTGTGCTAATCACTCAATTGATTTGTCCTCTCTCAAATCAAATCCCTCTATATTCTTCTCCTCCCTTAAAATTTTGATCTTTTTGTGTCAGTTGAAAGTTCCATGGACAATTTTGGTTTCTTGGCTATAAAATCCACATTTTTAGTCCAAATTCCTCACTTCTCTCAATCTGGGTATCTCATTTTTTCAAGTTTTGTATAGATTTCTATGGGTTTTGAAGGCTTTTAATTCCTGGGCATCTCAAAATTCCTACTTTTCTCCACATTTGGATATTTGAAGGTTTTTAATTCCCTTTTCTTATCTGGGTATTTTCAAAATTTTCAAGTTTTCTCCTGAGTTATCTGTTCCTGAAGTTAATTTGTTGTTGGTTTCTCTTAAATTTTCCAAAAACATTAACATCTCCTTGGAGTTCTCAAAAGTTTTAAGTTTTTTCAAAAGATTTTGGTGATGTCTTGTAATTCTTCAGACCATCCCACTTTGTGTTCAAATGCATCCCCTGAGCTAAATCTATACCAGGCTTTCATCTTCTCAGTGCCAGTCTTCTTCACTTTTATCCTCTTGTTGCTGTTCTATGTTTGCTACTTGAGGAGAAGGAGAGCCAGTTGGCAATCTATGAGAATGAGAGCCTCAAATTTGGGAGGAGAGATCTCAATAGTAAGCATTGATTTGTTGTATTAAATCTTTACTGTGTTTAATGAGTTTTTTTTAATTTATTCTTTCTTTTGGTCATTTGCCAGTCTTCGAATTGCGGCATAAAAAAGGAAGTGAGGGAGATGCTCCCGGTGGTCGTGTTCAAGGAGAGCTTCTTGATCAGGGAAACACAGTTGAGTAATCTCTCATTGCTGCTTATATTGCTGTGATAAAATTATGTTGTTATTAATGTTGGAACATTGTGTTTGTGGTTTTCGTATGATCCTATGCTCCTTAGTTTGGTTTTTGCACCCGGCACAAATAAATCGCAATTTTAGCTGGGATGTGAGGTTGGTCTTATAAATCCAACCTTAGCTCAGATGTACAACCAAAGCCTATAAAGATGTTTCTTGTGGTTATTTATTGAAAGATAAACCTTAAAATATTGGGAGTTTGTTGGGAGTTGCTTGTTTGTTACATGAATTTGAACAAGAAGAGTTGTGTCTCGTCTAACTGCTAACCTTCTAGACTTTATGGTGATCCCTTGTGTTACAAATATTTTTTCTGGACAGGGTTCTAGGACTATGTAGAGGGTTAAATCTATATTGATGACTACTCAAAGGTTTGTACCCTTCTATTACTTCGATGGAGAAAGATGAGACTTTGTGTTTGTTTTCTTTTTCAAATCTCAATTGAGTTTCTTACCGTTCAGGATTTCATTAGAAGTGTGAGGTTATTTATTGTATGTGCAATTACCTACATAATCACTCTGAAGGACATGTTGAATATTACTCTTTTGCTTGTCGACTCTTTTGTCTTGTGAATTTACATTTTAGTCATGATGTAAACTCTTCCTCAAATTAGAGAGGTTTGGAGATAATGTTTTTTATGCAGGCTTGACGTCTTAGTTTTTTCACTTAATTATGTGACGAGACTGATTCAATTCATGAAGAGATGAACATTGTTCAAAGAGGTGCTGGTATCTTGATCGAAGATACTGTGAGTCTTCTTTCAGACTGTTCATCTGTCATTAGCTCTTAATTATCTGTCACTTTCATTCTTTAGATATTAGATAGGAGGTTTATTGTTCTTTTTGATACAGTAAATTCTCTTGATAGAAGCTCCATAGTTATATTCAGAACTTCATCTGATACAAAAACGTGTTTCCTGATATTTGACCTTTATTCTAAATGATTTTTTGTGCAATTGCAATTAAAGGAGTTAATCATATATCTTTTATGGAAAATATCTGTGTCTTTATCGTAGTCTAGGTATTTTTTGGTTGATGTCTTTGGTTTAATTGCTGCAATGACGTTTTTAAAAAATCTTTTTTAAAGTTTTGTGATAACCAACTTGTGATTTTATTTATAAAAAAAGATCAAGTTTTGGTCACGTCAGTTATGCATGCCAAAACTTGATACCTGTAATTTTTCATGTTTAAATTAAATCGGGGTCGAAACTGCGGGTCCAAAGATACTAAATACTCTTTGTGTGCATTATTGAAGGTTTCCATGCCACACAAGACATATTTGATCAAGGACTGGTACTATGTGTGGATGTTTCGGTAAGTTTTCATCAAATGGTTTTCAGGGACAACCATTTGATGTCATTAGTATGGTTTCTGTTGCTAAGAATCGAATTAAAGAATTATCTAGGGAATGCTCGTGATTTTGATCGTTGTAAAAAGGGTTAGTTTTGAGGATAAGTTGGACAAAAGCCTCAACCATGGAGATGAGCCTAGTGAATTTTGATTGATTTTTAATGAGGCAATTGTTTCAATGATGAGATAGTCCACCTTCAGAATCGGGTTTCCCAAACGTCCAAAATTGCTTAAAGATAGTGTACGTAGGGTCAGAACCCTAGATTCGATTTAAGCTTTAATAAAATTAAAACAATCAGGTTGGGCCTGCATTGCTAACCTGCCTGAAACTTCGTCGTTTTCTTTCGTAATATTGTTTCTTATAGTTAAAACATGGTTTCTTTAAAAAAACTAACAAGAAGGCATAGGGTACTCTACAGATTTTAATTTAGATTTTAATTTATTTTATGTAGGAGCTTTGGTACTAATTTAAAGAAATAAAACATTTACCTTCTTATATGTAGTTTCCGAAATTTGACCATCTACTAGCTTTTTATTGTATGTTATTGAATGCCTACGTAATATTGTTTCTTATAGTTAAAACATGGTTTCTTTAAAAAAATAACAAGAAGGCATAGGGTACTCTACAGATTTTAATTTATTTTATGTAGGAGCTTTGGTACTAATTTAAAGAAATAAAACATTTACCTTCTTATATGTAGTTTCCGAAATTTGACCATCTACTAGCTTTTTATTGTATGTTGCTGAATGCCTATCTAGCGCAACAGTTCTTGTTGGTAACCCGTTTCACCTGATTAATCTCTAGAGCTTAACCAGTCCACTTTTTTATACTCTTGTTTACCGTATATGCTTCCTTAATAGTCATAGACATATAAAACAGTTTGGTGTTTGCATCTTCAACTGACAGAGATCCTTGACTTGATGTCACTGGGATTCATGACGTGTAACTGGAAGGGAGAAACTAGATGGAAAAAATCCGAACCCTAAAGGCACGAGATGAATTTGATGCCGTGAGAGCAATTGGAGTGGTGGGGGAGTTCATGGAATTGGGCTCTTTTTACTTATGGGGTTTTTATTTGTCAACATTTCTAGAGGAAACGTGGATAAATCCCAACGTTTTACTCAAATGTTGGTAAACCTTTGTGGTTAGCTACCGAAATGTAGTGTATGCTCCAGCTCAAGGAGTGTTGAGAATAATAGTATGTTAGGAAGGGTATATTGAGAATATAAGATGGAGAGGCTTTAGAGAGATGATTAGATATCAGGAATATGATTAGGTATGACCAAGGTATATGATTAGATATGATTGAGGGTATAAAGGAATATGCTAAGGATATGTTTAGCATATTCCTAAAGTACGTAGGATATCTTTTTATCTTCAAGTACTATAATAAATAATAGAAAATAACTACAGTTATTTACCAATGTTGGGAGTTATCCATGTTTCCTCTAGAAAAGTTGAGCCCAACAAATAAAAGAGCCCGACGAGTAAAAAATGCGTGATCCCCCACTACTCAAATTCCTCTCGCGTCTTTAGGCTTTGGGAATTGAGGATTCCCCCACCCCCAGCCCCCCTGCTCACCTCAAGCTTCCTTTCTCCTCTCCTCTCCTCTCGCGGCTTTAGGGTTTTTGCGGGTTTGGGAATTTTCTTTTGTTTCTCCAGATTCGCTCTTGCAGTTCCTCGATGAGAATCTCGCAACATCAAGTCAAGGATCTCTTTCCATAGGCCTCTCTAACTCTCTATGGTTTTCCCTTGTTCTCACAAGAGAGTTATTCAGTGTGTGTTGATAAACAGAAAGCACCTATAGGTGGAATGTCCATGAACTGCCAGAGCTAGAAATATTATATAATGTCAATTTTGTTTAAGTGCATACTATGTTGTTTGTTAAACAACCTCATATGTACAATCGAGAAATTGACGTGAGATTGTTTATTAGTACTTAGCTTATATGTTCTACATATCTATTTCAATCCTATTCTGGTATTCTATTTCGGCCTTCCAATCATGCTCTATTTGTGTTGGGTCATATTTTGTGCGGGTATAGGCAAAGTCTAGCATGGCACTGAAATAAAACAGGCATTCAATCTATAAACCAGGCACAACATGATGTCATACTTGATACATGCATATATTTTGAGGACTTACCAATTAGAAGCGGCAGAAAGTTAGCAAATGGCTACGACTTATTTGCAAATAATGAGTTGTACTATGCACGTAGAGAACAAGTTTCTATCTTCATGTATTGTGGGCAGTTTTGTCTTTGATCTGACATGATTGTTGTAATTCAAAGAGAACTTCTGAGTAGTGAATAGCTATAGATATTGCAATATGAACATTATTGTGTATCAAATCACTAATGGACTGTGCAATTACTTAAGTTTGATGATGCCTAAACTTTCCTCAAATTCAGGAGACATGTAAATTTTGTGTATCTTTGCAGAACACTGAGGAATTAGAGAGAGTTGAGATTTGCTGGATGTGGTAAGATTTCATAATCTCCAAGGTCTCACTCCTCAGTGATGCATTTCTTTTTGTTTTCTGAGATTAGGCCATTATTAATTTGATTTATTCAAGGCAAGGTTTGGTATGACAGGAGGGGAGGGGAGGGACGAAACTAAAAGTCATGTTTGGTAGGGAGTTTTGGATGGTGATGTGAGGTGCAGGCAGGGGAAGGACAATGAAAAATGAACTAAAAACTTACAGAAAAATCCCTCTTGTTTTGGGAAGTCACAAATAGGAGAGTGATTTTAATAAGGATTCACCTTCCCTGGCTCCCTTTCAACCAAACACGAAGGTTAAAAGGAATGTGCGTCCCTCCACCTTATTGCACTCCCCTCCCCTCCCCTTCCCTAATCAAACTCCCCTACCAGACCAAGCCCAGTTAAATGGTAACCAGCTTATGGATGAGATAATTTTGATATAAAATACAAATGTAAAACAAATGCATATCTAAGCGAATGCGCCTATTGTATTCTGCTTAGTTTCCAGCTACCACTTGAACATAGCAGAAAGTTTGTCCCTCCGTTTTCTGTATTGGCTGGGCAATTTCTTATAGCCCAATAAGTATAGCAATCTGCATAGCTCCCGTTTTGTTTGCTTCAGTTCTTTTATGATATTTGACACTTTATAAGACTATCTCATTTGCATCACATTAAGCATGTTAGGACTGACACGCAGCTCTTTGCGCCTTGAGCCTTGACAATGGTGTCTGTATAAGAGCCTTGCGCTTTGACAACGCTGTCTGTGTAAGTATATAGTATCATATCATATGATGCAATGGGGTAAATATAATGTTTGTCCGATAATATCTAAGATAACTTGCGTTCTCCAATCATACTCAAATTTTCCATCCTCTTCTAGATGCTCTGTATGCTTAGGTGACTACCAAGCAGAGGACAGGCTTCAACGAATACCCTTCTGTGGCCACACCTTTCATGTTGACTGTATCGACCACTGGCTTTCCACTCATACAACTTGCCCACTCTGTCGAGTCTCACTTCTTACCTCAACTAAATCTTCTACCGATCAACAAGATCATGAAGTCCAAGTCAATGAAGATCAAGTGCAAGAACAATCTCAAGAAAATGGAGCGGAGAGGGAAGGAGTATGTGATGCTGCTGAAAGTACGCGTTCTGGTGAAGGATCTGTTGTGATTGATATTGATAGCCATAGGAGCTCTGAGTAGAACCCTAGAAATGTAGGAAAGTGTAATATGTAAAATTTTCATGTTTTTATTTCTGTGTTTGAGTTTATTTGGATATAGGTAAGAGGTTAGGGTGATTGTTTACATCTCCGATCTGGGTATAATCTACTCGTGTAGAGTATGGAACTTTTGTCGACCCTGAGAATAAAAAAAGTTCAAAGTTCATGGGTCTGCTAATTGTCTCGTAGCTTCTCTGTATGTAGACAGAACAAAGATAAGTAAGTTGGAGATGTGTTCAATTAATTTAGTACATGTATATGTATGTATGTAGGAAGAGAGATAAATGTTTTGGTATCTAAACGTTACTCAATGCACAGGCCTGACAATGACCCTTACAATGAGGATATTCATGACACATGAGCACCGCAGGTGATCCGAATGATTAAAAGATTTTAATATGACTCATACGTTGCTTAAGTTTGATTCGCAGATGCCTCATTATACACAGCATTACTATATATATATATATATATATATATATATATATATATATATATATATATATATATATATATATATATATATATATATGAGATTAATAGGTCTCCTTGTCATAGGAGAGGATTTTCCTTCTTGACAATGAGTGTGGCACAATCCTCACCACATGAATGAGAGAATAAAGTAGAAGAGAAAATTTTACATGGTGAGGATTATGCTACATCATTGTTGAAGGGAATATCTCTTTGTCAAGAATATCATTAATATCTTGCTTTGCTTCTCTCTCTATCTCGTGAGAGAATAATAATAATAGTAAAACACGCACATCGAAGGAAGTGACCTTAAGGGTAGTAAACAGGGAGAGACGTAATCTCGTCAAGTCCCGAAAAGTTATCGATATCTCTGCTGCTCTCTATATATATATATATAATATATTATATATATATATATTATTATATATATATATATATATATTATATTATATATTACGCATCAGCCTAGTATTACGCCAAAAAAGTGAAAAAGGAATTCTACTAGAGTATAATAATACCGATACTTTTTGTTATACCAAAACACAGATCAGACAACACCCATACTCTTAGCTTTCTTTCTGACTTGGCCTAACCAAAAGATAACATCATATCCCTCCAAAAAAAGCATGACAACCCACACACCTGCTATTTCCCTTTCTTGCCTCCAACCATGACTCCACAAAAACAACAAATTCACATTGAAAAAGTTAAAGCAAGGGCCCGTCCCTTGGCCCACAAGCTGATGATTAGCTGAGCTAGGGTTTTTGGTGATTTCAAAGAGATCACAAAATCAGCATTCAGGAATCCTTATCTTGTAAATCTTTCGGTTGGTCGTCATAATCGTTTCTCGTGGCGTCAGCATCAGAATTATCACTGATCCCCTCGCCTTTGAAGATTGGGAGCTTTGATTTGGGAGACAGTTGCTTGGCCTCCTCGCAAGTGCAGATGTAGATTTTTCTCACAATGTTGCAGAACTCACTGCACTTGTGTTAAATTGGATGTGAGAAAAATTAAAGTTAGACAAATTACTTGAGGGAAAATTATCACCAAAAAAAACCCGTTAACTATGATGTGGTTTGCACAAGACGCCATAAACTTTAAAGTTGGAGAAAGCCTCTCTGGACTGGTTAATACAGTTACTTTAAGTTGTCATGTGCCCTTGTGCACATTTGGTTTTGCTGAGAGCTTTTGGAATAATCAGGACAGTATATACCTTTTACCCTTCATGTTAAGGCCATCTATGAAAATTTCCAATAGTTCAATCAGGGTTTTGTATAATTTTGAAAGTTCAGGAGGTTTTTTATAAATGCATAAGTTTGCATGGTTTTGTGCAAGACACACAGGTGCTTTTGTAAGTATACTCTTATAAAGTAGTTTTTTTATATATATAAATTGAAATGGATAGGGTCAAAAGGAAATTACTTCCAGGGATCATCGCCGACCAGCATCATGTCATCTTCATCATCGGTGTAGACAACCTGCCACTTCTTAACAGCACTGGTGAGCTCTCCTTCAATGCTGAACATCTCTTCAAGCTTGTGGAGGAGATCCTCATAACCATCAAATCTTGTTAAGTCCACTGCCCTGCCAACAGCCATCCCATGCATGTGCACCTGTTATACCAAGACATTAATATCAGAATTCCCTAACTCAGATTAACTCTCTTTTAAACTATTAAAAAATCATATATGAGGTCCTTTTTAGAAAATTTTATCCGGATGTAGACACTTAGAATAACAGGAGGTGACATGTCACAGGAGAACCTTAAAGTTGGATAGTTTATCAACCACCAGCTTTAAGATTTATGCTGGGGACACATCAAATCCTATGACCTCCCTATCTAATTTTCTATTGAGAATCTCTATGGGATCCCCCCCCCCTTTTTTTTTGAATACAGGGATGGGTTAGCAAGAGCTGTGATATTAATTTAGTTAATTCACCTTGGTGCAGCTCCGTAGTTGCCTACTTTGAGTCTCTTGGGGCGATCTAAGGCATGATTTCTCAGGCTCACTGCTAACTGCAGGGACATCAGAGTGGTTAGCATTTGAAGGATGTGATTGCTGCTCAGAATCGAAGTCCTGAGAAGCCAATGGTTGGTCCTCTGCAACTACAGAAGTGGTAGCCACTGGTGAAGATTCTTCTGCAGTAGTTGAACTCTCTAACAGGATTCCAAAGAGACGACAGCTATTGCCGCTGTTTGATTCCTGCTTCTTCCTAGTTGGTTCTTTGGTAATGCTAGCTGAGAATGATTCAGTTTGAGAATCTGCACGAGATGGCCAGTACATTGATAAAGGTCCAGAGCTCCCATTGAATCCAGCAGATCCAGGACTGGTGGGAATTAGCGATGGTGTTGTGTTGCCATTGAATCCAACAGAACTAGGTTTTGATGTTGGTGAGAAAAGAGGCGAGGGAGTTGAAAATGGATAGGATTCACTGTTTCGTTGAAGTCTCGAAAATGAGAAAGTCTTAGTAGTATCAGTTTGGGGTTTCCACATTCCTGTGAATACAAAGAAAGATTAGACTACATGAAAGAACATTAGAAAGAATGACAAGATAAATTAAGTAAATGACTGCCACTAGCATCTCAAAGTAAGAACATATGCTGGATGATTCTCAGTGAAAAGCCATATATACCCAATAGGGCAAGGCATCAAGACAGAAAAGAAGAAACAGGAGACTACACTCCAAGCAAGAGTTTAAAAACAAAAAGTAGCATAACTCATCAAGTATGATCTCAATCGCAACTCTAGCAAATTCTAGATGAAACAGGAATAATCGTATTATAAACATGATGGGGTAACTATAAAACAGGATAAAACTGATTATATACCAAAATGAGAAGGAAGATCTGGGGCGCTAGAGGGAGAAATTGGTGGCCTGGCACGTTTATTTCTCTGTACCGGTTGTGAAGCTGGTGGAGGAGATGCAACAAGTGGCTCCACTTCCCATGGTGAAACTTTGTCTGGACGTACAATGGATGATGGTTCATCCCATTGAACCTGCACAACTTCACACATTAGAGTAAAAAAAACAAGGAGCCAGAAGGAACAGAACAAGTTAAGAACATAGTAAATGATTATGTTAATAGAATGAATATTAGCTAGAAAAGCACACTGTATAACAAGAAAAGGGGCTTTCCATGAATCCATGGTCAAAGGAGTTACTAGACGCTTGTGCTTTTAGAGATACAAGCTAGTAACAAACTTGAGCTACCTTCAAAGATCTCCACTCAGAATCTGTCCATCTAGATAATCCTGGGTCGTCAACTTCAACTATAGTACCACTGAACCTGGTAAACAGTAAAACGAAATTTCATTTGATGAAAAATAATGCCTTTCTTCGAAGCTTTAAGATCACTTCGCCAATTGTGGATAATACCTTCTTTCAGGAGCTTCATCGCCCTCAAATCTCATTTTAAACCTCATTCCAACAGACAGCCTCTGACTTTTGGCTTCGAGATATCTATTGACACTAATGATGAACTCAGAACGACTTGTTCTGCAATTCAAAAAAGGCATGGCTTTTCAAACAACAAGCATGATGGAAAGGACAAGTATAGACAAAATGCTAAATAAAATTATATGTATTCAACCACAAGCCATGCTAAGAAAAGCCAAGATCTTGAAAATTTTCTAGACTTCCAACTCAGGAAGTTGTCCCCATGTGTTTGGCAAACAAGCACAGAGGGCAAGAATGCTTGTGCTTGTGCTTGTGTTTCTGTGTGCGAAAAGAGAGAGGTTTGTGGTTGTGTTTAGTATATTATAGTATAATACTTACTAAAGCCATATAAAAAAATAGTAATCTTGAAAAAACAAAAAAGTTAAGTTAGATCTCGAACCTTGGCTTGTAGAAGACAGAAAAAAGTGTGCCAGTAGATATGGCATGTGATGCAGTAGCCAGAACTCCAAGATGCATACTGTGGCTTGATATAACAGATGATGGCATATTATTTAATTGTCTCATAAGCCTCCTTACACCTACACGCAGTTCTCCATTCTCACCTCTGCACAAATGAGAATATGTATTAAGCGCAGCAACGGACTCCTTGAAGCCTCCAAAAAAGCTTGCTCAACACAAAACCAACTTTCCACAGCATGAGTGATAAATTTTAACGAAATGTATGGGAGGAGAGGATAGTGTTTACCTCAAGAAGATAAATGCATCGCCTGCTACCAATCTCTTTGAGCTAACAAAGACGCTCCAGCCAGTAGTGAGCAGATGTCGCCTAGGCTGCCCTGCAGAGATGGAAATGCAACTTATAATTTTATTCATTTTCAACCGCTTTTGATATCCTTGTTAAAGCACAGCACCAATTAATACCTATGCACTGGACATTAGAGACATATTCAGCATTTAAGTCGAAGTGAGTATCTCAACCAAATGCTGTAAACTAGTTTTGGTTTTACAAGTACTGCTTGCAAGACCTTAGCAATAATTGCAAGAGATTGGCTCTAGTCGTATCATGCTAAGTGACAAATTTCAATATTCTGTTTTCTTATACTTCCAAAGAACTATCCTCTGATGCTCCAGTTTGTAATTTTTTATGGCTATTTATGCCATCTCTATTAATAAAATTTACAGGTCTATCCAGGGACCCGCAAGTAAGTTTTGGATTAAAAAAACTAACATATTTCATTAATGCAAATATCTTTTGATCAATATAAATCATCCCCATGAAGTACTACGGTACAAGATAATAAAGATACAATATTAAAGCAGTACATAAAAGTAAACCTCTAAATATGTGACGGAAATGCCACTCATTCCCATGAAGATCTGTGGCAATCAGTTCTTGCCAAGGTGGATGTTGTGACATGTCCTAGAAAAAAGAGGAAACCAACTTGGTATAAGGTAAGGCAAAAAGGTAAAATACTAAAGGACTTCTCCAATTGTGATGATGAGCATACATTTTCTATAAAACTTACCAATTGAGGTAGGCATTCATCGGCATGCCGCCTTAGTACTGAGAATCCCCCATGGGTGCTTGTGTCTGAAGCAGTAAGTGTTTTACAAAATGAATGAATTGTACATTTTTCTGGTTCAGGAAGCAGAGGATCTGGACTAGTGATCTCTCCTTGCTGATCAAAAGTTTAAAGGACGTCAATATAAATTGCAAAAATGATTATGACGAATGAGAGAATCATGTAACAAAATATAAGTATACTCATGTCTGGTTAACATAAGTATACTTAAAGTACTAGTTAACAAAGAAGCATTCATGGATGGAATTAATTATACAAGTCAGATATTGTTCTATATATACCACTGTGATCAAGCAGGATGCAGAAACTCATAAGAAGAAAACTCACATCTGGTTCAGGTAGCAAAGTAATCTGTGCATAAACTTCATCACTATCTGCTTCAGCCTACAATATTGAAATAAGCTGAAAAACTAAGTAAATTGGATCAAAGAAAAATAGAGCAAAAAATGCGCAAAAGAGACCTTACCCGAAGCTGAACATGCATGACCCTACAGAGGATCTTTGATGGTAGATTAAACAAGGGCATCTGCTGATCAAGCCCTTGATGTGTAGATGCTTCAAGCTACAAAAAGGTAGAAAATACAAACAAATTCAGAAACAGTAATCACAAATAACTCAATATCAGGCTTCAATCCACTTATAAGAAAATACGGAATGCAATAATGGAGGCAAGCCATGCATATACATAAACTTTAAAAGAACAAAACATTGCATAACTTGCAATACCTGTTCCATATGGCCTTGAGGAAAGTAATAAACTCGTTCCCCTTCTCGGGGAACTGTAACCAGAGGTCCAGCACAAGCATGCCAGAGTTCCTTGTATAAAAGATCAACCGAGGCGCCTAAAATGAAAGAAGGGTCCATTAGCAAGATAAGGAACAAGATTAAGTTTGTTGGAAGAATAGTCTGGAACCATTATACATACCATTCATATCAAGATTTCCTGAAAATACAATCTAAAGTACACCCAAGTAATAAAGTCCTCCGATTACGAGAAGCAGGACTCAATTATAGAAGACACAAGGAACACACCAAGTAATGCAGAAAAATAAAAACCAAGGTTATAAAAGAGACTAGTACCAAAGCTAGCCAAACATGGAAACACTTCAACCATAAATGAAATAATTGAGCAGAAAGTAAGAATAACAATTTATCAGATTTAGTAAAGCCAGTCAATGTAGTTTTCAACACTTTATCAGTGAGATCAAAGCATGTTACCTGCCCAATAATAGAGTCAATATAAGAGATAAATGCAATATAAAACCAGAAGACCGAAGAACAAAAAGATGAAGAATTTTCTTTAAATTTAAAAGTGGATCGTATGAAAACTTAAGTCCATGTTTTAGTCAAAAAGTTTTGTTCACCCTAAAATAGAACCAACCTAACATAGCAAGCAAGCAATCTCCTAGAAACGAAAACATCAAAATGAAATAATAAAAGATAAACAAATTTATACAAAAAATACAAAAACCCAATAAATCCATAACTTACACTGAATCCTAAAATTTCAAAGGGTAAAGCAATTTTACAACAGAAAACGAATCCAAAAACACCAGAGTACTATGTTTTGCTTCGTACTCCAAATTTTAATCAAGCTAACATACAAAACCCAGCAAGGGGGAAAAAACCCAAAAAAACAAAATCACAAAAAAATGAGCAAAGGATTTAACGATAAAATAAAAGAATGAAATTCGAACCTAGCCTCGCTCCTGATTGATGATTAGAACCGGCGAGCGCCATAACAATTCAATCAGAAACCCCCCAATCAATCACTAACTACGCTAAAAATCAAAACTTTTCACCAAAGAACAACAAAAGCCACCAATTTACTCCGCTTCAGCTACCCCATTTCCTCTGCCCTCATTAAATTCCCAAACTCTTCAGCTTCACTCCAATTAAACCTCATTAACTCCCACATTCCAGGGTTTTACCGCCTCAAAATCAAAACCCCAGCAATTCTTAACGAAACGGCTCCAGTAAGCTCGATCTTTAACGCCAAAACCTCCCACGTGATCCAAACCCTGGAGGAAACGAGATCCGACCCAATCCGCTCCAAATTCCCCACAAAATCCTCCTAAAAGCACCGGAAAAGAGAAGATCCTTGACCTGAATTCTAGCTCGCCTGAGAATTTCGCCGATCTTGAAGAGAGAGAGAGAGAGAGGACCGAAGGAGTGGAGAGAGAGAGAGAGAGAGAGGAGGTTGATCTTTTTGAGTTAGAGAGAGAGAGAGAGAAGATTTAATTGGTTTGTTGCCGCTACGAGACCCTACAACGTACCCTGCGAAACCGCTGTCGGCTGCTTACTGCTTCCGCTGCTCACCTCTGCCTTCTCTTTTCCGCCTTTTTTTCTCGCGCATTTGCGCGGTTAAATTGCGCCAGCGGGAACAATATAAGCGTGTTGGTCGTGTGAAACTTTTGGGTCTGTTTTAGGTGTGGTCTCCTACAGTTTCTCCGAAAATTTCTCCAAAATAACGAAGTGCAATGGCTAACAATTGAGATAATTATTTGGTGCAATGGCTAAGCAAGTGGATAGGCAAATAAAAAGTAGGGGAGAGAAAAAGCAAATTTTGCCTACCGATTAAATTTCACCAAGGGCCCCGCGTGTCCGAAGATGGTTGAGTGATGTGGAGGAAAGATAAAGTGAAAAACTTTTGAAAAACTAGTTGTTGTGGAGTTGTGGAGGAAAGATAAAGTGAAAAACTTTTGAAAAACTAGTTGTTGTGGAGTTGAAAGGCAATTGGAAAAGACAAGTGATGTGGAGGGAGAATAAAGTGAGGTGGAAGGAGAGAGAAAGGCAATATTTGTCTTGCCATTGGAGATGGTCTAATAGTTTTTTCATTTTGAAGAATCATACATTTATTATAATAATAAAAAGTCATATTCTTCTGCATTTATTACAAATCCTGTATTTATTACTAGCCCTCAAAAACCGAAAATTCCTTCATTTTTTATAAATCCTGCATTTTTTACAAATCCTACATTTATTACAAAGCTCTCAAAAACTGAAAATTCCTGTATTTTTTACAAATCATGCATTTATTACAAAGCTCTCAGCAAAAATTACGGAATGCGATAGAGAATCTGTTGGACTAAAAAAAAGCCCAAAATTCTCCAAAAATAACAAAACCAATAAAATGGGGAAGCTGTTGGAGATGCTCGGACTCTCAAATTGCTAAACCTCTCTCTTATAGTTTTGTGCATCGAGTTTACGTTAAATTTGAGGCAGTATTCCATCAGACCTAGGGAGCGTTTGGCAATTCCTCCTAATTGTTAACTTTATACTCAAACCTAGTCTAATTCTAAAAAGATTTCTGACCTAGAAAAACTAGGCCAAAGCTATGATCCAAGTTTTCTTAGGCTAAAAAAGAGGCATTAAAATGGTTCTATTTTGAACCACTTTTCTCCGGTTTCAAACTAAAATCAGTTTAACTTAAAATTGGTCCAGGACCGATTTTGGCATGATTTTGTACGATTTGCCGAAAAGGGCCTTAACTTTTTGCGCTAAAATTCTAGTTATTGCATCCCAATATATTTACCTCTTTCTAAAAAGAATACGTTTTACCTCCCCTTGTTTAGTGGGTTTAAACTTAGAACCCACAAACAAAAGATTGAAACTCACATCCCACAATCAATTTGTGTCATTATTCTCCGAAATTTTGTTATTGTGGATATTTTAGTTATTAACATTGTTAGGTTAAAAGTTAAACTGCACCATGATTTACAAATTTAAATTAAAAGAATAATGGAGGTCTCTTTCTGCAGTTACTCTTATGATTTAAAAAGACTTATCTGAAATTTTAATGATTCGGGCCGTCGAGAAACATACATCAAAGTACATGGAAGATTTAAGAGACCAATGTCTTAAAAAGGCAAAAAATTTGTAAAAAAAAACAATAAGAAAAATGTAAAACTGTTAAGATTCATGCCACGAATATAGTAATCTGAACAGATAACAATCACTTAAAACATGTTGATTGGGTAAAAAATGACATTTGCAATCAAACGTACTGAAAAAGCGTTATGTACTTTAAAAAACCACTTTAACGATACTAATGATGTTGTTAGATAAACTGAACTAATCATAAAAATAGGAGAGTAGTCACAGAAAGCATTAAAAAAAAAAGAAAAATATCTAAATTTTGGCACGTACATTTTACATGTTGATTTACATTAACGGTTGTCAATCATAATAACCCAAATTAAAATAACCCAAACCAAACTCATCTTCATCAACCTCTCCTCAAATTATTCAGAACCCATCAACCCATTTCAATGGCGTCTCAAGCTCAATCAATACGTCGAAGTAGGCGCTGGTTAGATTTTGAGGAGGAAGGAGAGGAAGTGAATGTTGCCGGAGGAGCCGAGGAGGAGGATGCGGGACGCGGTGAACGGGTTGTCAAGTGGTCCTTCTGGAAACTTCTAGACACAGATGTTGTTGTGGAGGCAATAGAAATGAGATAAGGTCTGACGTCATCACCGATGATAGCAGTAGTGGAGGTCTAACAGGGAATGGAGGTTGAAAAGCATTTTGTTTGATGGAATGACAAAGGAAGGAGCGAGCAGAAACTGATGATGTTCTCTCTCCTTTTTTTTAAGTAAAATTTACAACGAACAATTTTTTAAAATCTACCAATTTAGTTTTTTATTTTTCAAAATCAACCGTTTTTTCTTTTATTTATCAAAACCGACCGGATTTTGTGATTAGCAGATTAATCACTATCCTAAATATTAATCACTATCCTAAATAGTCGGGGTTGCCAACCCCGACTATTTAGGAGGGTGTTAAACCCTAATTAAGGCCTTTAATTAGGGTTTAACACCCTCCTAAATAGTCGGGGTTGGCAACCCCGACTATTTAGGATAGTGATTAACCTGCTAATCACAAAATCCGGTCGGTTTTGATAAATAAAAGAAAAAACGGTCGATTTTGAAAAATAAAAATCCGAATGAGTCTGTTTTGAAAAATTATTCAATTTACAAAGTAGACTATTTTTATAAAATATATAGCGAAATAGACTATTTTAAAAAATAATTAGCAAAATAAACCTCTTTTGAAAAAAAAATCGATTTTGAAAAATAAGGCTCAGAAAACATACGGGACTACTAGTTCCGTATGTTTAGAACCAACTAATCACGGATTAGTGACTCAGAAAACATACGGGACTAGTAGTCCCGTATGTTTTCTGAGTAACATACGAGACTACTAGTCCCGTATGTTTTCTGAGTAGAAAATTTTACTAATCCGTGATTAAAACATATGGGACTACTAGTCCCGTATGTTTTCTGAGCGGTTTTACAAAATAGACCTTTTTTGGGCTGTTGGCAAAAAAGATGTCTATTTTGCTAATTATTTAGCAAAACGGTCTATTTTGCTAAATAATTAGCAAAAACAGTCTATTTTGCAATTTTTTTTTTTTTGTTTTGAAGAGGGAAATTTCAAGGGAAGCTTTCTTTTGAAACTGGTTGTGTCATTACCGGCAACGAAGCCTGGTATGCAAAAAAGGAGGAAGACCACGATGGGAAGAAAAGGGTTTATTCAGGATTTTTTTTAAGGGAGAGGAGGGGGCGTTTTGAAAATAAAGTATAATGATGAGGATAGACATGAGCTAGAAGGTTTTGCTTGCTTATAAATTATGATTTTGTGAGTAGTAGGCTTATTGACTTAGTCTTGGGGTGAGGGGCAACTTGTTTTTTGATTTTGGAGAGAAGATATGTTATTTCCTATGGATTTTAAGTAATGACAAACTATAATGAAGTTTTAAAAAAATATTATTAAATAATTTTGTTAAATGNAAAATGAGTATGCTTGATACCATGCATAAATTTTGTGCTTGGTAGTGAGGTGTCATATTCTCATTCACTCATTCCATTTCTCAACCACTCCTCAATTCATGGGAATGTGGGCCCCGATTTCAATGAGTGGAGTGGAATATGTCACCTCACTACCGAGTACAAAAAGTTATGCTTGGTATCAAGCATACCCATCTCTCTACACACACACTATCACAACAGTGTACGGTTTTCGTAATAATATTTAAAAATCTATGATGACATCAACCAAGTTTCCCTCCTAATAGTCCACATCCAATGAGCAGTTTTTTACCCTTCAACGGAATAAATAGGAGTTGTTATAGCCTAGAAAATCAACAAGGGCTAATCTCCCTAGAGAAGCCGACATGTGTCTCACCCCTTGCCTAATCAAACGAATTGGAGTCAAGACGGCTTAAACTACTCGCCGACCCTCCGGGCCGATAACTTGCGGAGCCTAGTAAAAATGTGGTACTTGTCGGCCACCTCACTCTATCGACCCTCTGCGCCGACAACTTACACCCTCTGCGCCGACAACTTACGCAGCCAGTCAAAAGGTAGTGTTTCTCGACCCTTGACCAAACTAAAAGAAAGGTGACATTTACCTCGAACCTTTCGCTAGCTGACTGCTCTGCCATTAACTGCTCTGACAAGATCATCATTACTCTAGCATCATAGTCTTTATGACTTATTGAACTCAGTCAGCTCCAAGTACTACTGTCATTCCCTCATTAAATAACCATATCACTCACTTTTTTTCGCAGCTGACACCTGGAAGGTATTTGCTGACTTAGCAGGTTGACTGGACTTGATCAAAGTTACCTCCATACCCCTCTGATCTGCTATAAAAGGGAGCTACACTGCATGGGGTAACTTCTTCTGCTTTTTAGCAACGTTGACTAACTACCTATACAATTGTCCCATTTTTACCACTCAAGATTAAAATACCGATTTGATCGTTGGAGGATAAAACGGAGAATCCAACTCCGCCCTCTTACGAGTTTTTCATGCGCATGGAAAAACAGCGGGCTTTGGAATCAGTCATCTAATGAAGTTTGATGACCCTAAACATTCTCATAACTCTAACATAAACCTCGGTTTAATAACTGATATCAACAGGAGTAAAAATTGAGGATTTTGCCTGCTGTTGTAGAGGTCAAAGCCATATTGATAAGATTTGTTTTTTGAACAACAAAATCTATTCACCATAGATACCTTTTGCTGAATTCGTGATATTATTTACCATAGATAGTACCTTTTGCTGTTAATATCATTTTTGTAGTAATTTGAAGAATTTATGCGTAACTTCGTTTTAATCCAAGGGCTGAACAGTAAAATCGCGTGCCTTGAGGGGACAGGGCAGCACGGGTCTTGCGTTGCATCCTGCTGCCAGTACGCTGCACCGGCGGGACAACCACTGCTGAGCAACGTCGAAAACTGACGGCACGTCTTCTCTGTACCCTGCCGCCTTGGGCTCCTAACCCGCCGTCTG